CACCGAGTCGCGGGAGAAGCCGGTCAGCACCGGCAGCATCGACGCCTACTTCAAGTCCGCCAACAGCTGGCTGGCAGAGAAGAAGGACAACGTGGAGCGGCTGCTGAGGACCACCTCCGTCACCACCGAGAACATGAAGGGGTTCTTCGGGGGGCTGGAGAGCAAACTCAAGGGGCCGCCCCCCAAGAAAAATGGGTAAGAGATGAATCTAGTGAGGCCGACCCGCTCGTCGCTTCCGGTCACCGTAATCGATGCACGCACGTAATGGGGACGTCTCCCTGGACACGGCATCACCGGGACTGTCTCGGAAATTCCAGGACGTATGAGATTTTAGTGTTTGGGTTGCAATTAATTTTCTGGAGACTGTCAAGAGTTCCGGCTGTGAACAGGATGGGCGCCCCTCGGGCCCCCCGGCAGGCACTTTGCTCAGCGACGTTTTCATTTTTAACATGACAGGTTCACTTTAAAAACGTATTATTTTTTTTCTTCTTCTACCAGCCAATCGGAAGACTCTCCGAGAGAGAAGCCGTCCAATGACAGTGAGTGGGTCCCTTCCCGTCGTCCTATCTTGTCGCGTCGTCTTCCCGCACTCGTCACACCTACTCACCTCCCCATCTTTTGTGTTCAGTTCCCCTGCAGAGTCCCGATGACAAGAAGGGGGAGAAGATTTACCTGTACTCCCATCTGAAGCAGCAGCCAATCTGGTAAGAGGAAGGAGGAGGAGGAGGGCGAGCATGGTTATGAGCGCTCTTCAGTAATGGCGTCCTTCAGTAATGGCGTCCGGCAGTGGCGTCACAAGGGGGGTTCGGCCCTCACCTGGGTGACACCATTGGAGGGGTGACAACAAACATTTTGCCCTCTGAAAAGTCAGGCACTGGGTCATGGACCTGAGAGCCCGACAGTTGTTCAAGAGAGGAGGGGACCCGGCCGGCATACCTCATCCCCTCCTCTCTCTGCCGACGTCCATCACCAAGATGGCTGCCGGCAGGTAACAGCGGTACAGCGCGTGACATCACTGCGGGGTGTCACCCGGTACCCGCACATGGGGTCACCCACTGGGGGGAGGTGGGCTACTATAATGAAGGAGATCCGAACCCAAAAATAATAACAATGTAACAGTGGCGGAACAATGGGGGTGCGGCCCGGGTGCCACCATTGGAGGGGTGACACCAAAATGACTGGCAGTCATTTTGGTGTCACCCCCTATGAAGAGTCAGGCACTCGGTCACAGACCGAGAGCCCGATAGTGTCAGGAGAGAGGAGGGGACCCGGCGGCATACCTCATCACCAAGATGGCCGCCGGAAGGCTTCAATAAGACGACCGCGCATGCGCGATGACGTCGTCACGCACGAACGCGGCAACGTCGTGCACGGTCACGGCACGGTGTCACCCGGTCTCCGATCCGGGTGTCACCCACCCTCGAGACGACCCCCTGCAATGTAACATATTGAAGCGCGTCAGTCTTTAGGTTGGGGCGGCCGCAATAGGTTTCAGGCTAAGAACATTTTCTGCAAGTACAGAACGGTTACTGCTGGAAATCCAGTGTCCTTGTAACTTCCTGTGCACTGAATCGATATCCCAGCTCTCTTCTGTGAACTGCAAACTCCAACTCGGTATGTTAATGAAGAGGGGGGGGGGAGTGGAGAGTAGCCTAGGGTGACAACGCTGCTCCTCCCATTGATACATTCAGTGAGCGTTGTCACCCTAGGACAGGACATGTGTAACTGGCAGGATCACCAGGTTATGGAAAGCTACAGAACTTCCTCCTTCCATGTTATAGTGATGAGAAGAGGCGGAAGCGGTCTGTTGTCCCATCCTTGGATAATAACATGGGTCATCCATACACTGGAGATGAGGTGAAGGTGTTTGTAGTTCAAAGCAGGAGACCATATGTACAGTATAGTGAGAGTTGTCACCCTGGCACAGGAAGTGTGTCACTGACAGGTGATAATAAGGGGGGGAAAAAAAGCCTAAAAAGAAAACTAATGCAGCCGCCAC